GAAAGGGGGTGACAACGATAGAACACACTGCAGAAAGAAAAAGGGGGTGATGCGCACAACAAACACTGCGATAGACAACAACACTATCCCTTAGAGAAGTGACCTCCTGTGCCGTTCCATTATACTAACATTTATAAAAATGCTCTCCTGAACATTTTGATTTTGCACACTCTGCAAAATTATAGGACTGTGAGGGCCCTCCTCATCACATCAGGGAAGCCACTCCACAAGGTGGGGAGCCGTTGCAGAGAAGGTGTGTGCTGAGGCTGTTGCTCGTCTTAGTAAAAGGGTAAAGGTTTCCCTTGCTTGAAAGCCAGTCGAATCCGACTCTCTCATCTCCGTTTCCAAGCCGAAGAACCAGCGCTGTCCAAAGACATTTCCGTGGTCATGTGGCCGGCATGACTAGATACCAATGCTGTTTTTCTTACCCATTTGCAAAGCAGCACCTTCAGAAGGCTTTGCTCAGAGGAGCGAAGCTGTGGCAGGGTCGTAACAGGAGAGGTGGTCCTCCCAGCAGGTGGGTCCAAAGCCCCTAAGAGCTTTGCTGGAGAGAACCAGAACCTTGAACTCAAACCAGTAACCAACGGACTGTCTGCAGGACGGGTGGGACACACACCTCCCACTTTGCACCCACCAGTAGCCAGGTCACGGTGTTCTGCACCAACTGGAGTTTCCGAATTGTCTTTAAGGGCAGACCCAGAGGGCCAGATCAGCCAAATCAAGACAGGAGGGTCATCTCCCAAGCTAAGTGAAAACAAAAGAAGGCTTTTGCACTGCCTTAACTTATTTCCCGAGAAATAAAGCTGAACCCTACATAAGTGTGAGACAGATCCCATCAAAAGTGGGAAGCAGTACCCTGACCAGCCAAGCCTGATTTCATCAGATCTTGGAAGCTAAGCAGGGCCGACCCTGGCAAGTACTTGGATGGAAGACCTCCAGAGAATATCAGGGCTGGGAGGCCAGAGGCAGGCTATCAAGCCTCTGAACGTCCTCTGTGCCCCAGTAGGAGTCGCCAGAGGTTGCTATGACTTCCAGGCATGGGCACACCCAACCAGCATGAACTCCATCTAGTCAGGATTCAGTTTCACCGTGTTCACCGTTAGCCATTTAACCTCATCAGTCAAGCACCTGTTCAGAACCTTTACAATGTCACCAGGAGATCTGGATAAAGAGATACAGAGTTGGGCATATTAATGACAACCTTCCCCATAACTACGAATGGTTTTTCCTAAGGGCTCTAGGAGCCAGCGTAGTGTAGCGGTTAAGAAGAAGAGAAGAGATTGGATTTATACCCCGCCCTTCACTTGGAGTCTCAGAGCGGCTTACAAACTCCTTTCCCTTCCCCTCCCCACAACAGACACCCTGTGAGGTAGGTGGGGCTGAGAGAGCTCTTCACAGAAACTGCTCTTTTTCAAGGGCAACTCTTATCAGAACCATGGGTTGCCCAAGGTCTTCCAGCCAGGTGCAAGTGGAGGAGTGGGGAATCAAACCCGGTTCTCCCAGATTACAGTCCGCACACTTAACCACCACACCAAACTGGCGGACTCTAATCTGGAGAAGCAGGTTTGATTCCCCACTCCTCCACATGAAGCCAGCTAGGTGACCTTGGGTCAGTCACAGTTCTCTCACAACTCTTTCAGCCCCACCTATCACACAAGGTGCCTGCTGCAGGGAGAGGAAGGGAAGGTAACTGTAAGCTGTTTTGAGACACCTTCAGGTAGAGGAAAGAGAGGTATAAAAACCAACTCTTCTTCTTTACCATCGAGGCTGAATAGATTGGGGAGAAGACCGAGCCGCGAAGAACCCAACAAATCAGGGTACACATCAGTGACAACTAGTTTCCAACAGTAACCCCTCCCCCCGAGCTCTGCTCTTAAGGAATTATTTAAACCAATCCAAAGCATGTACCTTACCCCTTACTTCTACCTCTAAACATCTCAACAAGATGGCACAGTCCATTGTATCAGAGCCTTCTGATAAGTCCAGTGAGGACAAGAGAAACACAGACCTGGTCTACAATCAACTAAGGCCACCAGCATCAAGCCCAGTCTGAAACAAGACTGAAAGGGGTCATGGGCAGAGGAGTTATCCAGGAAGTCCGGGAGCAGCTCTGATTCCACTCCATCAACTTGCCCAGGAAATTAGAAACCAGGTGGAAACTGGACTTATCATTCTCCTCTAGGGATGATTTTTAAGTAGTCCACCTGCCTGCCTGTTTTACAGTCCAAGGTGATTGATTTATAACAGACTTTAGGGACCAAATGATGTGATCTCTACAGGATTTCTTTTTTGGGGGGGTATTTTTTGTATTTTTCGTGTGTGTGTGCGCGCGCGCATGTGCACACGTGTACGCACCTGGAAGTCATGGCAACCTCTAGTGACTGTGTGTGCACCTGGAAGTCATGGCGACCTCTGGCGACTGACCCGTGCTAGGGGCCTGGAGGATATTCAGAGAGGTGGCTGAATAAAGCCTGCCCCCACCTCCCGACTGCTGGTATTCCAAGGAAGTCTCCCATCCAAATACTTGCCAGAGTCAACCCTACTTAGCTTCTGAGATATGACGAGATCGGGCTTGCCCAGGCTATGCAGGTCAGGGCTTTATAGAAGAAGAAGAAGAAGAAGAAGAGATTGGATTTATACCCCGCCCTTCACTACCCAAAGGTGTCCTTCACTACCCAAAGGTGTCCCAGAGCGGCTTACAAACTCCTTTCCCTTCCCCTCCTCACAACACCCTGTTGAAACTGCTCTTTTTCAAGAACAGCTCTTATCAGAAGTATGGCTTGCCCAAGGTCACCCAGCAGGTGCAAGTGGAGGAGTGGGGAATCAAACCCGGTTCTCCCAGATTAGAGTCCGCACACTTAACCACTACACCAAACTGGCTGTAAAGAAATCTTTATGGGATTTCTTTACAGGATTTCAGTACCCAGGACAGGCAAGGATCCAAAACACAAGTGGTGGCTTTCACTGATCCTGCTGTCATCCATCACGGTAGCCAGATCAAAGTGATCCACGGACAGCCTGCCTACACATGTCCTGGGGATTACTAATGACTCACCTATATTACAGCCAGCATCCAAATCAGAATGTATTTGGGAGATTTTTCTCAGCCAAAAAAACTTTGTGAAAGCATCAAAACTAATCATCAGTTCCTGGGCATGTAAAAACTCAGGCTTCAGAGTCAATAAGTGCTGAAATAACTTTAAACAACTGAGCTGGGTGTGAACTAGCTGATGCGACGGTAGCAGCGAAGTAGGACTTCTTCACCACTGTCACCTTCATTTCATAGGTCTTCCGATGAGCTCCGTAGCACACTGTCAGATTCAGTTTGAATTTTCCGCCATCACTGTTGTAGACATCTCACAGCCCCCTTCAAATCTCTCAGCTGCACAGCAAACCAAGGTGGCAGATACTACCTCGAGGACGGAAAAGGTCAGTGGTGGCGGGAGGTGAAACCTTGTCAATAGCTTCTGGGACTTCTCATTCCAGGCTTCCACACCAGGGTTTCAACAAGTGCTGTCAACTGGGACCCTAACATTCTGGCACTAGTCTCCACCAGTGGACCATTTTAACTGGCCCCTCGCTCCGGTACAGCATCGGTGCCACCTTCACGAACGCCTTGAGGAGACAGTGGTTGGACCATGGCACAGGGACGAACCCCTACACCAGACCTTGCCCCAAAGACTTATTGTGAAAAAGTTAATCTCTGGTTATGTATACAGACTGTCACAACCTAAGAGAGACCTGTAGTCACCAGAGAGGCTACGAGATCCTGAGGCAGATCAGATAAGGCATCATCAGTCTGCATGCTGAATTCGTCTTCCAATCACAACAGTGGAGGCCTCAAGCATCAGAGAATCCACTTCCTGACATTTGGCACCCTAACCCTTAAGACAGAATCATTCACGAGCGTGTAGCTTATGCATTCAACACCAGAGTGCATTCCCAACGTCCATTCAACACCAGAGTGCACACCCACCATGCATTCAAAATCAGAGTGCATTCTCACCATGCATTCAACACCAGATTGCATTCTCACCATGCATTCAACACCAGAGAATCGAATTGTAATAGAGACTCTTCAAACCCCAAATATAGAATCCCATCTGTGCCCCATTAGGATCCTAGAAGACTGAGGCTGCAATCCTAAGTGTGCTGACTCAGACATAGGTCCCACTGAGCTCAACACTGACTAAACACACTTAGGGTCACACTGTCAGTCCCCTTTGACAGACTACTGAGTTAGGTCAAACCATACCCTTTGCAGCCTGCCAACAGTGCCAGAGATCCCAATACTTTCAATATCCAAACCAACCAATATTAAAACCAACCAAAACCACACACTGTGCATGCTCCAGAACACATCTGGAGAACTGACAGCTTGCAAAATGAGCTGATCTGCTGGGGAAAAAGAAGGGTCACCTTTGCATTTCCCCAAAAAAGCTATGCTGGGGGAGATTTTGGAATTTATGAGATACAAAAGCTATGCGGGATGGGCGCTGTAGTAAAGAGAACTGGGCAAGACTGAAACAGCGCAGACTTGATTCACCCAATGTGTTGTGTTACTTAGGTTGGTTGTAATAAGACATGGTAAACAGATTTAGCTTTGGGATTTTGCTAAGGGTCAGCACAGCTACCTACTTTTGAGAGTTGGCAGAGACCACTATATTTTGCTGCTGAAATACAGCAGAGGCCCACGCGTGAAAACTGCTTGAATAGGGGTGGCAGATCAAAAAAGGATGGGAGGCCAGGGCAAATAATCTCTGGTCCCCATGGCTTTGAGCACATGCCCTGGGAAATCCAGGCCCTGCTCCCCTTCCCTCCACAAACCACCAGGGCTTGAATAATAAACCCTCCTAAAACCCCAAAGATCCAGACACACCACCACAGAAACCACTCGTCCCCCTCTCTTTTTCCAACCAAGCCTCCAAAGAATTCCAGCGCTCACCCCTCCGTGTCCCCCTCCCACAAGGTTCCCCCGACAGCGCCCTCTCCCCCCCTACCTGCCCGAGTCTTGCTCCCGACCCCCAGGCTGGGACACGTCGGGGAGACTCCCGGCCGTGCCGGCGGCGGCATTGGCTGGGGAAGCAGCGGCTGGCGGGAACTCCTTGTCTCCAGCCCGACGTGCGCCCGAGCCGGCTGCTGCGTTGCAGGACGGTCCACTGCAGCTTTTGGTGCGGAACAATCGGCTCAGGCGAATCTTGAACGAGCCTTTCCTAGAGGGGGCGGACGAGCTGGGGCGGCTGGTCCCAGCGGCGGTTGGGGGCACCGGCCCAGCCGGAGGAGGAGGCGCAGCAGCAGACGACAACGACACCGGGGCAGCTGGAGCGGGCGCTTGGAAGCGGCTGCCCCCCACGCAGGCTTGGCTGGAGGCATCTCCCTGCCCTGTCTCTTCCTCTTCGTCCTCCTCGTCGGGGCCGAGGGCTTCGAGCACCAGGAGGGCGTCGCTGGTCTCCTCCCCCGGGGGCAGCAAGGGCAGAGTGGGCGGCGGGGCTAGAGGCGGCGGAGGCAGGAGACTCAGGCACGGGCAGTCGCCGGCAGCCTTGCCCGGCCCTCCCGGAGCCGTCGGGGGCGCCTGATGCAGCCCCA